GTATAATCGAATAATTTAAGGGAAAATCTTTTTAAAACAAAATTCTCACTCAAAGAAGGTTTTAACAAACATATATTCTTCAGAAAAATAATGTGTCCTACTCCACAATGGCCAGTTTGTATGACAAATAGTTAATGACTGTGTTATCTCCAGTGTGGTAGCCAACGGGAAGAAACTCTTGCTAAATTCAGGCACATTAAATTGAATATGTAACAGGAGTCAAACCGACAGAGATCGAATGGGAGGACTTGATCCCTTCATTCTACTGAATCCTCTTTGCAAAGATTTCAATATACGCTAGAAAAGGCTTAGGATCGGGTGACAATTACTATGCAATGTTTGAACAAATAATAGAAGTTATTTAAGTAATTATTACGAAAGTTGTTAAAGCACAACTGTAATGGATTCATACTATCAAAAACCTTCAATTTGTTTTCAAGGATGGGGCTCTATCTCTGCCACGCGTTCAATAAACTTGCATTTCTTCTCTGTATTTCTAGCATCAGCTACATGTACTAACGGATTTAAACATCAAAAGCTACGTTAAGTACATGAATTCATCACAGAAGCATACCATTTACAACCCCAAATGATAGCAGATAGGACGGATACTTGCCCCAACCGTCCCATGCATCCAAACGACAGAGAATGGATAATGATATACAAAACTTAAATTTATATAGTCAAGTCCATCCGCTAATACATGTTTTGTTTTTTTTAGCGGACGAGACTGTTCATATTTTTCCCCTCAGGTGTGGACATTTTTAACTTCTAATGAATAATGTTATCATTAGTAAATGTTTTATCATAATATTAGTGGTTATGATGGCGCATTATTGATGATGCAGTTTTATCATTAGAGATAATATTTTATCATTAGGGTATGGTTTTTGTTGTTATGAATGGTTGCTAGAGAGTTTCAAATTTAGACCTTGAAGTCAGCATTCTTTAATTTTTAGGTTTACGAAATAATTTTTAAAATATTACGGTACGAGGGGGAAAAAATGAAATTGAAAAATTTCTCCATCGAGAAAAAAAAAATAAAAATAAAACAATTTTTCAAAAATATATATATTTTTAATTTTGTCTTTTGTTTCTTTAGAGCATTTCTCGTTACAACAGGGTGTCCTGCTTGAGGACAGGCTTTGCAGTTACATGTAGGTCGCACTATCCCATGCTTTCGGCTCAATGTTCCCGAAGTAAAATCAAGATATCATCGAAAATCTGTGTTTTTCCTGCAAAAGATTGTCAATTTTCAAAAAACAACATGTAATGTATGTTTCTTATATATCTAGCTTGGTTTTCAATAAGTTATTGTATGGATTGTATTCATTTAAAGAGTGTATTTTCAAGTAAACTTTAAAGATATCATTTATTTACCTACATAGTATGTCGTCTCAATAAGAGTCAGGCAATTTAATCCCTCCCGCACCGCAATCGTATCCTGGAATTCTCCCCCCAGGGAATAAAGAAATTCCACATGTATAGAGAAGTTCCTCCTGAAGTCGACAAAGAGCCCTCTCCTAGGCAGGACTTAGCTTTTTGGAGGAATATATGACTCGCCGTTTTCCACAGTCACAGCAAACAACAAAATCTCTCACCTTGGCTACAGAAAATGAAATATTAGGTATTTACAATACCTGTCCCTATGTAACCAAATACTGATTAAGAAGTCAATTATCACTTTTATTTCTATCACTATGAGTTCTCTAAGGATGCTTTTTCAATCAGATATTAACTTAAATGAAGTTTCAATCAGATATTGTTTAACTTTAATAAAGATTGCCACATTAAAAGTTTAATATCTGGATATGTTTTAAAACAACATTTGTATTTTTGAAAACTGAAAAGATATGTCATTAAATTGCCTTTTCAAATAAATGGTTACTTAAATATGTTTATTTTAAACCAAGTGCGAATTGAACAGGTTTTTGAAACGTACCTACGAGGAGGGTAGTGATCATAATGTCTCCGCGCCATCATCAAAACTTGAAAGCTTTTGGCTTGCTAGTTACGGACTTCTTTGCTACTGGGTCCCATTTCATAACAAGATTCACAATAATACATTTAAAGCCAAAGTCTTATAAAACTTTGATAGGTGTTTCCAACGTTGTAACCGTAATAACTGTGGCCGATTCCTCCAAAGTACACAACATGGCCAATTAACGTATCATTTGCTTTTCTTTCTAAAATCGTGATCAGTAAATGACCAACCGAGTCATTTTCCTCAGCCTCTCGAATAGTATTAAAGGTATACTTTTTTTCTGAATACATCTAAATTGATTTTAAAATAAGATCGCTTGGGTACCTGTCCGGTGCTCGAGACTGCCATTTTATTAACGTACGGGTACCTTTGGTATATATAAAATGTTCCCTACATGTATTAAGTTGATGATAGTTTTGATCACATGCACAACGTTATTTTTGGCTACATGTGATTGCATCACGACACTTATTTTTATTTTAACCAAGAAAGAAATTTCTATGTCAAGAGATAGAAATATCTCAATTTTAACAGTTTCAAGGAACTGAATATAAATGTTTTAGGTAAACCATTATCAGTAATTAATAAAAATATGGGCAATAGTAAATAGAAATCAATATTTGTATCATAGTTCAGATTTGAATTAAATCAATAGAAAATAGCCTTCATTATTAAACTCTGGCAAGACAATTCATGGGGTTGCTTGGAATCATGCATTTTCTTGCAAAGTTATCTCTCTTATCAGAGGGATAGTACACCGTAAGGTCTCAAAGTGCCTAGCGCTTGGCGAACTGTTGCTTAGCCTACCTATTATCTTTTCTGCCATATTTGACGTCTTTAAAAAAATATCTTGCCATGAAATAAGAAATAAAATATGCTAGAAAGGACACTTTTTAATCGACTTAGGTTATCCAATAACACAAGTCCTTTCTTTGGGTAACAACATTTTGATCTCTTGACCTTGAACTTTGAATTTGACTTGCATTTGAGAAACTTTTTTTTTTTTATATATATATAAATTTATTAATCATTATGTAAACCCATTTACAATTTCCAACTATCCCGGGTCAGGATAGTTAGTATAACATAAATAACAGAGTAACAAATATTTATTATAGCAATTCTACAAATGACACTATCTTATTTTCAAACATTTTTAAACATATGAGTTTTCGTTAACTTCATTAATAAGTCCATTTTTTTTTTAAATTTTTTTTACATAAGAGAGTAACATATCATTTGTTTCAGTTTTGTTCTGACATCTACAAAACATTTTAAATTTATATATCTTATACGCTAGGAAAGACACAAAGGTATTCAAAAATTGTATTTTGGGATTCTTTTCAGAATAAAACCCTAATATGACATGTTTCCACTGTATATCAAAACTTAACACAGAACTCAGATTTTTCCATAGTATTTGAACATGTGCACAATCAAAAAGTAAATGTCTAATATCTTCAATTTCATCACACATATTACAAAAAGCAGATGTTCTGTATTTGCATTTAAAAAGAAAACTGTTACAACATAATGTATTATTTAACAGTTTGTAATTAAATTCACATATTCTTTTATCATAAATGTCTTTTACTTTGTTTCTATGTATAAATTTCCAACTCTCTTTAGCAACAGAAAATATTTTTTTTAAACATTAATTGATGACTTGGAGCTTTAAATTTCTTAAAGAGTAGATTATCGTAGAAAAATTTACATTTTTCATCTTCAATACAATATACACCATTGATAAAATTAAAATAACAATTTCCTATAGTCTGTATGTATGAACAACAAGTCATATCTAATCTTAAAGCTTTTTTATAGATTGCCGTTTTTATTATTTTATATTCACACATCCAATTCGATTTTTGTTTCAGATCAAAGGACAATTCTTGTAGTGTTTTAAATTGTCCACTTTTATTAAAAAGGTCTTTAACATGTGTTATCCCACTTTGGATCCAATGTTTTGTTTTCATATTTAAACATATTATTATTCCATATTGGTTGCTGAGCAAAACTTACATTAGATAATTTTGTTTCATCGATATATCTTTTACAATCATTAAGACTACAGAATACTTCTTTATAAAAATTCGGGAGGTTTGAAATGATTTTAAAGTCTGAGGGTTTTGTCTCCGATAAAGTTAATATATAATTGAGAAACTTTAACCTTTACCATAAGCTGTCATACGGGGGCATCAGTGTTTCAAAACACATCTTGTTCTTATGTGCAATTTGGCAGCCTCTCTCTCCTTTAATGTTTTTAAATATCTGTCGTTACCTTAAATTACCATTAATCATTCAGAGTTTCCCTTGAGACTGACGACTCCTTTACATCAGAGTTTACAAAGAAAAATGTATATCTATGTAGTAATCAATGCATCGAGTCTTCAATGGGGAGAAGCATTATTCATCCCACTCAATTATGATTTTCTGTTGTGTAATTATAATTTATAGAATACGAGAACAATTCATAACTGTACATAAGTGTTTTAAAAACCATTACAATATCTTACTTCCTCAGTGAACAACTCATTCTTCTTATCCCCTCCTCTGCACAGTCCGAGTCACATTCAAGTACATGTACACTGTATATGGAAATTTATGTTCTTTTATTTTCCAATCTCACGTGAGCCAGAGGTGCTACCGATAACTTGTCTTTCGTTTTAAGGGGCCTGATTAAAATGAACGTGTATTTTCCCTGATAAATTAGAGTAAAGGTCTTTAAAATTTAACATTTTTATCTCAATATATCTATAAATACTTTTTTAAAAGTCAGAAAAGCATATTTCTTAAATTTATGTAGGATTCTCCCAAAAAGTAACATGTAACACTTATTCTAATTTAAGTTATGACAATTTAGGAAACTATGATAGGGAAGATTTAAAACGAGGAATGTGTCAGTAATACTTATATGGTAAGACAACATTTCCGCTACATCTTAACTTTGGTATAAACAACTTCGGATATGAATAACCAAATTATTCCTTAATCACCACAACCTCTTTCTTGTTTAATGTATATTGTCCTGATCGAATGGGCACTGTAAATTTCGCCATCAATTTATTTTATCTAGAAATAATATATACTTCGGGTGAGTTTTAAGAATTTTTTATTCATCTGTCACAAGATTTTTCTTATGTTCTTTCAATTTCATGTTGTAAAAAGGCAAAAATGACGGTATTTCTGATCTCCTTATTTCGTTACACAGTGACAGCTCAAAGTTGTAGATATTGTGGCGGTGATGGATCGTGCAATGAAAGGTCGCAGTGCAACTATGGATGCGTTCCTGGATTCTTTTCTTTAACTTGTACACAGACATGTGGTCAATGCGCCGGAAATGGGAGCTGTAATATAGTTTCCGGGTTCTGCGATGAGAACAAGTGTAAGGCAACTTTTTTCGGACCTCCGTGCACACAGCCATGCCCTATCTTTTGTGGTGGTGATGGAAGTTGTGATTTCACCACAGCAAACTGTAATGAAGGATGCAAATTAGGGTATATGGGAGCAAGATGTGAAATTTCATGTCCATATATTAATTGTAAGAATCCATGCAATGTCTTAAACGGTGGATCTTGTACTTCCGGTTGTCTTGACGGGTTTTATGGAGAAGTCTGTGACAAACGCTGTGAATGCCCAGACACCAGAGTTTGTGAACAGAAAACTGGAATTTGTATTGTACCTATATTTTTGACAACACCTTGTGGGACAGACAGTGCATATTCATGTATTGGTAGGTATATCTAGAGATCTCGTGTTAGGATTCGAACATGATTAGCTGCTTCCATAAATAAATTTGCATATAAGTGAAAATCAATCGATTGATTGAATATTTATTGCTCAGCGCCGAGTCGGCAGCATTTCAGCAATATTTGGCGACTGAATCAATGAGTTGACCAAGTACCATTTTGCTTAAAATATTGTAATTGTCCAAACAGATATAATATGTATCATATGTATCGATGTTGTTAAAATAATTTTTCCCCTGAATTGACTGATTGTGTGTTGTTTTACGTCCCGTTCGAGAATTTCTCACTCATATAGAGACGTCACCATGTACCGTTGAAGGGTTTAATTTAGACCTTTTTTCGGCACTCAGGGCCTTTGAGCAGTGAGAGCTCTTTATCGTGCCAACGCCTACCGTGACACAGACCTGGGTTTTGAAGTTCTCACTCCAAAGTGCCGAGCGCTTGGCGAAGGAACAGTTGCTACCTATTTTTATCGACTTAGGTCAGTACACGACCTTCTGATCACGGAGCAAGCGCTCTACCGACTGACCCCTAAATTTAAATTGCGTTATAAAGAACGGATATCTGTGTGCATAAATGCAATGTAGAATGTGCCAACAACCAAAGTTTTGAAAGTCCCCAGCTTGAAAATCTCACGATACTTCATATACAAGAAGAAACATTTTGATAATTAATCATGCTCTTTCTTTTATTATTAAAGAGAGTTCTCACAGCAAAGGTTATACTTGATACAGTGTCCATTCTCCGGGACTATCTTTCCTACGAATAATGCAACGATATGCAATGAACTCAAAATTTGATAATGGCCAACTAACAGCTAAACTATATGAAAATCGGGATGACTTCAACTTTTCCATTGTCATCTTCCCTTATTTATGTAATATTCCACTATCACCTGTATATGGTGCTAATGTCTCCCAAGCCAATTCGATTTGAAGAGCATGCTCTGAGGATCATCATTTTTGAATCCGAGGCAGGCTACTAGTAAGTTGATGTTACAGGGATTTCAACAGCCTCATTTAAAGTCAGCATTTCGAAAGTTTTATGGTAATTATAATGACCTTGTTTGCAAATACAACCTATAGTTGTGTTGTGTATTGACTGAAGTAGTTCATACCATTAGTTGGGCCAATGTTTCTATACAGTACTTATTTTGACTACGTATTCCTCCGTTTACTTGATCAATACATACAAGTAGGGCTCACGGCGGGTGACTGATCCAAACACATATTGATAATATCGTGTTTGAAAGAGCAGTCTGAAAAAAACATTAACAACTCATCTGGAAGGGTTTGACAAGCATAAAAAAGAAAGAAATTATTCAAACTTGGAAATCCTATATCGAAGGGGGGGGGGGGAGGATTCACCTTCTTTTACAACAAAAAATTATTTTTGAACTATGGAGATAACGAACTTACAGTATTAAAGTTCAAAGTCCATTTAAACAATACAAATCGACAGCAGAGCAAACACGGATCTCCAAAAACATAAGAGGTGGGATCAGGTGCCATGGAGGAGTAAGCATCCCCTGCCGACCGGTCACCCGCCGAGTGCTCCTTGTCATGATTGGGGAAACGGAAAATCCGTAGACAATTCAGTATGTAAATAATGGCCTAACAATTAGTATGAAAAACGTCAGTCAGCGTTTGACTTAATGATAGGTTGTGTTTGCTGACAAGGTCATTGTATCGACCATAAAACATTACCACATTACCCAGATTTTGACTAAATTGCAACAAAATGTGAAAGAGGGATGATGACCAGCTTTTCAATTAAGATTATCAACAATAAAAGGTTATGATTGAAAAAACAAAAGCCCCCCCCCCCACTACGTGCCTATATCGACAGGGAATACTTGCTTCTCCTAGGCACCTGATCCCCCTCTGATGTTTTATATCGTGTTCACCATTTTGTATTGTTTATAAGATTTTTGAGATCGACCACTTTCGTTCTGAACCTTCATCTTTTTCACATTTAATTTATGCTAAAATAATTGAATTTCGGTTGTTAGGCCGCATTGCTAATCAAATCGTTCTTGATTTTACAAGGTACCTGTGTGAGAATTGATTCATACCTATATATCCATTTATATATATTTTAGATAGCACAAGTAGCACACAATTCTTAAAATCTTCCACAACAAGGAACGGAGGTGACATTGAAAAAATGAATGTTGGACTGGTTGCAGGGTTAACAATGTCTCTAGTACTGGTTCTTATCCTGTCCTCCTTGTCTGTATTTCTCCTGTACAAATACAACAAAAGGTGATCAAACAATCTTTAAAATTTGACTAAGTATTATGAAAAGGAAGTGAACAGAAAGAGAAATAATGAAATTACATTCTTCTTTTCTTCAGAAAACAGAAAAAACCTCATGTGTACGAGGGTCCAGTTATTCAGCAAGCTAAAGGTAAATGTAATTCAAGTAATCTAACGTCTATGGGACTTTGTCATATAATACGAATATAAATGCCTTTTAAGATAGAGATTTAGATAGAAACTGTATTATTAAAAAATCTACGTCCGCAAATTATAATAATATTTATGAAGCAAAACAGCGGAACAGAATTTTTTTTTAAATTAAAGTATGTTTTTGCCAAAACTGTATGTCCATATGTAAGAGAGCTTTCAGTTCTCAGTAGTTCATATCTGATAATCCTCTATTCACCCGTTTGTTAATATCATACTTTTTGAAATTCACTTGAATTTTAACAGTGCACATAGAAATTCTACGTATCAAATTATACCTCTTATGTTCTGATTTCAACAAATTCTAATAAAGTTCTTAGAATAATGTCAAAGTTTATATCTCTCCTCTATCTTGATTGCTTTTTATACTGTAACAAAAGTACACACCTTTACATGAACATCATCTGCATGGTATAAATAATATATAAGTATTTCTTGATTATTTTTATTAAAAGAAATAGTTTATGACAGTCTAGAAGCAATAGCAGAGAATGATTACGTTGAAATACGTTCTGACTCCTACATACGGTATGTATGCATGCATTTTTATTAATCAAAATATTTTTTTTTTAAAAAGTAACAAGTAATATTACAGTTTACAATAGAAACAATGATGTACAATTATAACATTATTTCAAGAAAAATCACCCACGGGGTCAATAAGAGATGCATAATTATTCTTTGATAAACAAATCTACTATGCTTCGAACATAAGAAAATATATCTAACTAGAAACTCATTGCGAGCAATGAGAGGTCTTCCGTCCGATTCGGAAAATAAAAACGAAAATTCAAGCTGAAAACGTGATGAAAGAAATTCAGACACTCTGGAAATTTAACCCTGGTCGTTAGCGTGAAAATCCAACGTGCTATCTCCTTAAACCGGAAGTTGACGTTTTCAAGGTTACTCTAGACATTTGCACTCTGAATTACATATTTAAAATTCATTTCAAATACTTTATCTATAAAGAATATTTATGGGAAAGTAAAATACTCAAATTATTTAGTTTTTCTCTTATAATCGGAAATTGTCGTATTTGTTTCCAGTGGGACTAACATCTTTCGAATCTGCGAAAAAGATGCAAAAAAGTGATGCAATTTTCAATTAAAAAAAGAAAAGTTGAAATTTTTGACTTCTTTTATCAGTTCCTGTGACGACTGGAAGTGACGGCTGACGCTCTGAACCCAAATGGTTTTGCCTACATCTTAAGAACTGTTGCTCATATAAGTTTGGTGTCTAAATCTCTTACCGTTTTTGAGTTCTTGCTCAGACAACTTCTCGTATAGAATTTTTCAAGAACTCTTGAGTAGTTTTAATTGTAATAAACAGGCTATATTTTGGATTGTTTAACCTACCAAGCCAACTTTCTTTTTTTTTTTTTTTTTTTAGATTTTGTCAAATCAGTGTTTTTGCAATTCTCAATGCATTTCCTATGTAAAATGTTGATAAAAGGGGCTTACATATTTTTTCACCATAATATTTCTCCAAAACTCACTTATTTCATATGGTTTTTGTTTTATATACATTACTGTATTTTCATTTCCTATGACTTCTAGATATTTTAGCTGAAAATGTAAATATGGAAACAAGACAAGGACATACCGGCACCGATCTCTATTTTTGAGTTACTTCCCTTAACAGCTATAATTACATATTATTCATAAGGGTCAATAGACTCAGACTGGGTGATTGATTCTATCATGTAATTGACTAAATTGATTGAAACATATTGTCATAAAAATATTGGCATGGATTTATTTCAATTTTTATTCATAGTTACTAAATGCTGCTTCATACAACCTATAGCTAGAAACTGATCTCAGTAGGTCTACCTTTCAGCATATGTCACATCTTTGCCTTTCCCAGCATACTGAGCATAACTATGGTAAATGACGACCTGTTGGCTCTTTGTCTCCTGAATACAATGTACAACAAAACCACTACTACTTTTCCTTCTTGCTGTATAGATGATTCTACCCGTTGAAGGAAGTACACGTGCTTTTTGTTTACCCCTGTAAACATATGCTTTATTGGTTTTTATCGCTTAGAGAATTCTACACGGGAGATCACTCTCAATCACTATTTCATAAGTGAAAAAACCTATATATTTAACCTTTTTTTCTCAGGAAAACTTTGACTTGCCAATGTCCGTAAAATATAACATGGGTCCTTCAAAAATACAAGGATTTTTAAGGATTTATTTAAAACAAATAAAAATAGCGCAGGATTCACACAGAAAAAAAAAAAAACATCATTTATAAAGATGAAAACGTAAATTAAAAGTAAAAAATGAGAAAGAAAATTCAGACATAATCGGGATTAAACCCGTTGACGTTGTAGGTTAGTGTGCGAGGTACCAGCCACCCGAGGAGCTCCGAGTGCCGACCTGCTCGTTGGAGTTTACGGAGACAGCCGCCATTTTGGACCGCTTCAAATTTTAAAATGCGAATATCTAGAGTTTGGATTTATCAATTTTTAAACAAATTATATATTAAACCTTCTTGGAAATGTCTCTATTAACCCTACTAATATCAAAGAAAAATATTGAAAAACAAAAAAGTTAGAAAATTCATTTTTTTAAATTCGCATCCGGAAACGACCGGAAGTACCGACGACAAACGAAAGTTCATGTCCCGGCTAGGATTTATCACGATCTATAATCCCTGAAAGTTTCACATTGATATCTTTTACCGTTCTTGAGATTATCTGCGGACAAAATGTCTTTTTAAATTCAGAAAATGGTCTGTAACTTGACACCGGAAGTGATTTTCCAAAAAATCTTTCGGATAAAATAACTTCAGATTACAACACATTGTCCCTTTAGATTTCATTAAATTCCATCCAGTAGTCTTTGAGAAATGGCGTGCACAAAATTAGATGGGCGGAAAAATAATAATAATGTAATGTATTTTGTGGGTTCGACCACGGATGAAGTATAGATAAAGAATTTTCCTTTACGTTACTTGACGTATTCAGCTGATTGGATTCAATATAATAACAAACACAATCAATAATAATCAACAACACTATGATTTAAACTGATTCTCTATTTTATTATAATTTTCCTTAACTTGTTATCTCCTAGTCTACGTACTAATCCCCTGGTCTGACACTATGTTTGAGCACTAGCTCCCAGACCTATAGTTTCGAACACCGGGATTCAAACACCCGTTTATAATATAGTAATTTACTCTGATTTAGTAACCTGTAAGGATTCATGTAGCTCAAATGGTCCGTATGCAGCAGTTTGATACACCGCAAATGAGCTAACACAAATACCTTACCTTGTCCGTAACACGTCCTTCTTCTTCTACGGCTTCTCAATAACTGAACACCGAGACTTGAATGAGCCCGCTTATATACTTTATCAAGATCTGCTGAGTCAGATCTTGTTCTTCTAAACGTTTGAAACAATGCCTGGACATAGGAGATAACTTCTGATCGCTAAGACTAAATTTAACCCTGATTATATAATTATTAACTCGATCAAAGGAATTTCACTACAATAATAAGAAACAGTAGAATCACTATAAGGTCTTCCGTGAAAACGAAAGACCTTAATTACACCTAATTAAGACAACAGTAATTGCTTATTTCTTTGTGCCTCTGATGTTTTCTTGCTGGATGTTCCTCGAATCTTTAATACAAAAATCAAAGAAGCAAATACATCTATAAACATAAGTTTAAAATCCCACTAATGTTTGACTCCTACACAGTATCAATGTACTACGCTGTTAAAAAAAACAAAACGTTTACACACTTTTCTGCGGTAAAAAAGTCAATATTTATAATATAAAACAAACATAAATTATGTATGTTCGTTCTTTCAGATTGTTGTCAAACGTATACATTAAAAACACACATTTCAAAATATCTTGAAAGTAAAAAGTTTTGTTTTTGTTTGTGTGTTGTTTGACGTCCTTCTTGAGAATTTTTCACTCATATGGAGACGCCACCACTTGCCGGTGGAGAGCTGCAAATGTTGACCTACAGTCGGCACTTAGGGCCATTGAACAGTGAGGGATCTTTTTCGTGCCAGCACCTACTGCGACACGGGACCTCGGTTTATACGGTCTCATCTGAAGGACGGGTCTCCACGTCCCACAGTGGAATTTGAACCCGCAACGTAAGGATCAGCTCCTTACTCCGCGATTCTAGAGCAGACTCTCCAAACACTGGGCCACGCGGGCGACTTGAAAATAAAAAGTAGTGTCCCCAACGAGAAAATATGTTCGAGCTGTACAGTTATAAATCTCAAGCCCCCATCATCGATTTTGAGATCTGATTTGTTGCAATTCAAACCTCTTTCCTCGACTATTGAAGCAGTGTATCAAACCTCACCTCCTCTTATTAACATAATTTACTCAAGTTTTAATTTAATTTAGGAAATTGATAAGTACTTACTTAAAGGGGCATGGGTACAGTTTTTTTTATCGTTTTTTTATCGTCTTAATTTTACCCTTATATAAATAACTTTCATAAATAAGATGATTACAAATATTTTTACTAGAATTGCCAAATCGATCAATTTTTAGTAAGCGGTTATTCACGTGCCTTTTCAATCGAGTACTTACTCATTATTCAAGGGGGAAAAATCAAATTTTAAACATACATGTATACCGGTATATCTTCACTACCGTATATTGCTCTTTGCCGTTGAACGTAAATTTAGGATTTAAATACCCACGTTAACAAGGTAATTGAAATAGTTGTACGATGAATTCTGAAATTAGATTGTGTTTGAACAATAACGCAGAACATGATGAAATATTGCATGATTTTATTTTTTCCAAGTACTTGTACTCGAATACCGATTTTAGTATTTAATATTCGAACCTTTCGACGAGTACTCGAGTAACAGTTACTCGTTGACAACCCTAATTTGTACATTTCATTACTTAACACTAGGTGCAGTTCATAATTATATTAAACATGCCCCCTCCTCTTCTCCAGCACAAATCGTGTTTGTAAACACAATGTTTACATCCTTAGTGATATGAAACAGATTGTTCACATCATCCAAGAAACCACGTGTGAAGGTTAGCGTAAATTACAGATACAGATTTCAGTTCAAGTTTTGTCACTGTTCATATTGAGCTGTGAATTTAATTCGCTTGCTGGTGTCATCCATCTCCGACTGCGATAACGGTTCACTCGCTCTTATTTTCTTCCATCAACAGTCAACTCTGGCAATAGTTGAGACATCGGTCATCAATGTAAACAAATAAAAAGTTGTCTCGAAACCATATTTGTGTCATTTGATTTTTGGATTGTTGCTTTGTTTTTACACGTACATGTATCAACTATCGTCAAAATATTAATTTGAATATTTAGTTATTTTTTTATCCAAACTGTGTCCACGTACCTTTTTAATGTCTTCCCTGTATAATTCAGAATTTTTTAAAAAAAATATACAATGTCATTGCAAAAATACATTTTATTTTAAAGGGAAATGGACGATGGATACACGACAGTCAATCTGTAATACCTGCTGTCCAGCGATGGCTTCAGTATGGTCATTTTGCTTTGATAAGTCAAGTTTTTGTCAGTCGGTCACATCTGAGAGGATATTGCTAGAGGAATTTAATATGAATGTTGACTCCATCAATGTCGACTATGAAGAAAATATATTCTTTATCTAGTAAGATACCTTCCCAATAAGTATCATCTCTTGTGACGTACTAAAAATACAGAATAATACTTCTTTTGTTTGTTTTAATTAATTCCAATTTGTGACTAGCCTTTTTTGAACATTTTTTATTCTTTATCGAGAGGATTTTGTGATGAAAAGTGTTTGAAAATCAAATCAAAATAATTGCTTTCGTTTTGGGCTGAATAAACCTTCATAAATCTATTGGCTGTTGTTTTATATCCCTTACAAGATTATTTCACTCATATGATATGTCGGTGAAGGGCTTCAAAATTGCCACTTAAGGCCATTGATCAGTTAGGGATCTTTATCGTGCCAATGCCTACGGTGTCACGTGGCCTCGGTTTTTAATTAAGGTCTCATGCAAGAGACACGCAACTTCCACTTGAAAGTACCGAGCACTAGTTGCTACCTATGGTTTGTTGCAGCCAGGACTTGAACCCATAACCTTCTGATCACAGAGCGAACACTCTACAAACTATAAATCTATGATAAGTGCTTAATATATTCTTTCTAAATATGTTGAAATGTTTCCGTAATTGCCTTCTTAGACTAAATTAGTGACATAAGAAGTCATTAGAGTTAATCTAAAAGCATTTTGTTCTCTTTTGCTTCGCTTAGCCGAACATAAATCATTTCCTGAGCAAAATCAGCATCCATCGCGGGCAATATCGAAATATTTCCTGATGGGATACATTACCAAAGACTACTGCTATCGTATCAAAATTAGCTATTTTACGGAATAAGCTTGGGCTCCAGGTTATTCACATGTATACAGACGGTGTTTGAACTGCAGCGAACCAGATATGTGCAAAATCTATCAACGTTCTAAACTGATTTTTAACTCTTCTGATTCAAAGAACTAATGCTAATGGCCATTTGAAGGTTGTGCGTCAACTTTTTGGAATATGGGCTATATCTCAAGAACCCCTTGGCCACGTTTTGTCAAATTTGGCACAGAGTATCCTTGGCCCAAGGACTCTCATTATACTAAAAAAGGATATGACCCTTAGACAAGGGGAAATATTTTGGAAAATTAAAAACAAAATGAAAAGTTGACCAAAAATATGTTTTGTTAAAACTTAAGATATTTTGCCCAATAAAAGGACTAGGATCATCAAATATTGTCAGTTGATGCATCTTAGGACCTCATATCATGTTGACTCATAAGTAGGTCACGTTGACCTACTGGTATTCACTTTTAATTTGATTTTGATGCATATTTTGGACACTTTGAGGCCTATGATCACCAAAACATGCTAGTTTATGCATCATAAGCCAAGGCCTTGAAGTGTGTCAACCAGAATGTATGTCACCGGGACCCACTTTCTGAATTTGTAGCTTATCATTTTCAAAACATTCAAGGTCATTTTTTCGGATACTGAGAGGATTAGAATTATCAAACCTTGTAAGTCGAAGCATCTTGGGGCCTTAAAACATCTTTATCAAAAAGAAGTTCACAGTAACTTGCTTTTTAATTTTTGCAGTTATTCATTTTCAATATGTTTTAGAGGCATATTTTGGACAGTTTGAAGCCTATGATCATCAAACCTTGTCAGTTCATGCATCCTAAGTCCTCAACGTATGTCAAAGTGACTTACTTTTAAAATTATATGGCTTTAAATATTTCAGATACTAATTGACTTAGAACCATCAAACTTTGACAGTTGATGCCTCTTGAGTTTTTAGAGTGTGTCAACCAAAAAGAGGTCACCGTGATCAACTTTTGAAATTTAAATATTTCAGATACTTATTAGCTTACAATTATCAAACTTACTTAGTTGATGCATCTTGAGTCCTTGGAGTGTGTCAACCAAAAATTAGATTACCGTGCCTACTTTTGGAATTCCACGGCTTTTATTAAATATTTTAATTACTAATTGCCTTAAAATAATTTAATTTTGTCAGTTGAAGCATCTTGGGTCCTTTGAATGTGTAAATAAAAAGTAGGTCGCGGTGACATACTTTTTGAATAGTGATGCAATATCTAAATATTTCAAATTATAAGAGGCTAAGTATCATCAAACTTTCTCAGTTGATGCGTCTTGGGGTCTCAGAGTGTGTTAACCAAAAATAGGTCACGATGACCTACTTCTGGAATTTTTAAGCTTTACATAGGTTAGAGTAGATAGGTTGTACAATTTATCAGGAGAGCAATTCTAGGCCCTTTGGCCTCTTGTTATACTCCAGATCATATTAAGTTCAAGTTTCGAGAAAAAACAATAAAACGTCTACTTCAACAGGGTTTATTAATGTAAAAAGAGCTACAATAGAACGAAAATTCACCGGATTCAACTATTAAATATACTTTTTAAATTTTAAAAATAATAATAATTTGCGAATAAGCAAATGTTTAGACAGTATAGAATAAATTTCGGGAAAATTTTGTTCCATCGTTCCCTCTTCAAAATTAGTATAAATGCTCAGAGACCCAAGCTACTAAAGGAAAAATAGGTCAATTTAGGAATTGATTTCAGCACGTCTGAGGACGTGTACGGAGTTTTGGAATGAATGTTGGTAGTAATGTACATTTAGTTTGTTTATATATGAAGAGACATGAGTAGAAAGTATAATTTTAATTCATTTGATTTATTAGTATGTTATTGGCGAAAGTGGGTACCCTATCCGAAGAGTTCCACGCCTTTATTTTTAAAACCCCAATTAAAACGATCTAAAGGCCTGTGCTTTGAACAATGGAAGTCAACACACATTCGTTGACTTGACTTCTTAAAAAGAAATTGTTTTTGCTATTTATGCATTGGATAGCTTAACAAACAATTTCATACATGTCACCAAATAGCAATCATTTTTTTATTTATGTAAATTCATTAAAACGGAAATTTGAAATATTATTAAGTACTTTCATAATGTAAATATTGACAATTTTTCCTTGTACTAAGAATAATGTGTGTATTGCAACTGGAAAATTGTAAAACTAAATGTGGAGGCAGGGTTCTCCATCATTCGAAATTTTACTGTATTGCAGACTTTACGTGAACCACTAATATTTGCGGTATTTTTGCGATCAAATTTGCAAATAAACAATTAAATTGATTAATTGATTGTATGTTGTTTTACGCCCCATTCGAGAAATTTTATTCATATAGAGACGTCACAATTAATCGGTGAAGGGCTTCAAATTTAGACCTCTACTCGGCACTCATTGCTATTGAGCAGTGACGGTTCTTTATCGTGCCAACGCCTCGGTTTTTAAGGTCTTATCCGAAGGACCCGCAAATTTCACTTCAAAGTGCCGAGCGCTTGGCGAAGGAAGAGTTGCTACCTCTCTTTTATCGCCCTAGGTCAGTCGCAGCCGTGATTCGAACTCGCGACCTTCCGATCACGGATGCCGTCACGGTAGATCAATCGGTAGAGCGCTCATTCCGTGATCGGAAGGTCGTGTGTTCGAATCACGGCTGCGACTGACCTAAGTCGATAAAAAATAGGAAGGACATTTAAGAAGAATTTGATTTTTTTCATTTTTTTTGCATTGAATTTCAATACACTGTCAGATATTAATATGTACTCGGAAATAATTTGGCCTGTACATATTGATTACAATTAATTTTCTTTATACATTATAATGATATAATTACATTTAAAGTATATGAATATTCCCTGTTCGTAAGTAAAGCATATGTCACAATTTTCTACGTGTTTTTCTTGAAACTTAAATAGAAACATCATTAGTGCTGTCTGAGGAGTACATTTATCAATTCACAGATGCTCATCAAACGAATGCCATTATCCTTCGCTCGTGGACCAAAACAATTTGAGAGTAAATGATTGGCCAAAGCAACTTTGGTCTACGAGTGACATAATACTGATATTTGTTTGATTAACATGTGTATTTTGTTAAATGTACCCCCAGAAAGAATATTATTAACAAATGAGGAAAAAACCAAGTCTTTAGAAACCTTTATTTGATCATAGTTGCTTGTTATAATTCATGCAAATCAGTCAGAGCCTTCTCGACATGAAAATCAAAGTTTCCCAATCTTTATAAAAATCCTCATGTACAGTTCTTCGTGGCTATATATTGGCTATAATTTTCCTTGTCTGACAAAATTAAAAAAATAAATTGATGAGATCTTGAATAGAGGGACATTGCCACAGTAAATGATAAATTGTCTCTTCAGCTGAATTACAGAATCTGCACATTTTACTATCTTTCATCTTCATTTTAAACAGGAATACATTAGTTGTTAGATATGATGATTAATCCTATATTGTAACCATTGTAGTTTTGTACTTCTAATACTGATAAAAGGTAATTGAAAAATTGATTTCCATTGCAATTGCATTTAGGACAAAGTGAAATATCTTCCCCATTTTCATTTGTTAAGGATGTGACATTTTCTTCTGTATTTAGTGTGTAGTTTTAGTACCTTCTTTGGATGAACAAAATAACCTTATGTTAAATGGTATAATTGGCCTAGGATTCATGTCTTCCTTAACAATATCCTCACTTTTTAGATGGTTGTAATAGAATTTTGTAAACCATAATATGTAAGACAATTACATTTGATTTAAAACTTATTCTGGAGACCTTGTAAACTCAAACATCAACCAAATCATTGATATTATATATATATATATATATATATATATATATATATACACAAAATTGACATCCCTAATATATATATATACATACATACATACATACATATATATATATATATATATATAGAAAGCACAAAGAAATTCACTTTTATAAGGATACCCACTTCCGCCCCAGCCCGGGGTTGAACTCTCGACCTGCGGAATCTGTCTCCTAGCAGTACAGGAACAGCGCGCTAGACCGCTCGGCTATCTAGGCAAGTCAAAAAACTTGCTTTCGATGTCGATGGAATTCTCGCGGCGCTGTCCTACACTACACGGTCATTGAGAATGGAAGTGAGATACAGTTATTTGGACATTAGTTTTATCAGAGGATCGTTACCAATACACGTTGTAATGAAATTAATTTTATTTATAAAGCACATTTTACAACAACTCTTAAACTAATATAACTGCCCTAAGTGAAGAAATATATATATATATATATATATATATATATATATATATATATATATATATATATATATATATATATATATATATATATATATATATGTGTGTGTGTGTGTGTGTGTGTGTGTGTGTGTGTGTGTGTGTATGTGTGTGTATGTATATATATATATATAATATATAGAATACGAACAAAATTAAATTATATATATATATATTATATATATATATAATTTAATTTTGTTCGTATTCTAGCATCTGATTGGTTAATATCCAAAAAGGAACACAAATTATTTCTGTATAACCTGGTTTGGTATGGGGACACACCCCCCTGACAACCAGCTGAATCGTCTGTATCCATGCAATCCTCTCATTTCCAGTCCTCCGGATTCATGGAAAATTCCATATTTAATAAATGTACCTTTAACTTCAAATAGTAACTCGGATCTTATCACATGTAAACAAAAAACATGGCTGCTAGGACTATGTATCAGTTTTTACCTCCCCTCGCTTCCCATCACTTCCGTTACTATGGTTGTATTATTGAGCGGCAAATTTGAACTAATAAAAAGCAACGAAATTTTACACCCATAGTTATTTAATGATTTTAAAATTAAATTATAAGGAATGACTCTAATTCTTGGCCAAATTATTCGAGTATAACCTGGTTTGGGTCAGTTTACGCTGTTTTATAATCCGCTTCGCGGATTATAAAGCGTAAACTGACCCAAACAAGGTTATACTCGAATAATTTGGCCAAGAATTAGAGTCATTCCTAATATATATATATATATATATATATATATATATATATATATATATATATATATATATATATATATATATTTATATATATATATATATATATATAATATTCTTATTATACCATTCAGTGAAGAAAATATACCTTTTTCAATTTTAATTTTATTATTAAACCAAATTGGTTGAGTTACAAATTCTTGCCGTGTTTTCTTGAATATCTCGAAAAGCAATAAATGCGTCTTTCCAAAAGAGGTTTCTTAAACGATGCAATGTATCTGATGCATTATTTCTTCCAGACTTTCTAATATGAGTTATATCAAGGATATTTTGAGAAGTATATTTTAGATAACTACTCATATACAATGACTCAAAATCGAAAAGAAACCCAGTGGTCAATGTGCGTCTTACTGAGCAACAGTACAATAAAATCGACCTTTATGCACTTATAACTTTTACGTTAATCACTTTAACCTTTATAATACTTTACAAGATATAATCATGGCAATAAATATAATCTTATTTTATGTAAAATAGCTTGAATAATATATATTATTAAACAAATCCTGCAAATTAATGCGTGTATATTATTATTTTGTGACCTTTTTGCATTAAAATATATATATAGGGTATTAAAATTCTAAATAGGCAATTAAATATTTTCTTGTATCAAGTTTTTAAGACTTTAGTGTTGATCGGTTGTAAGTATTGTGTATTTTTTTTTCTAATGAAAGAAAAAGTTGAAGCCAGTGATGTAAATTTTGAGATATTGGTCAAAATATGCGATTTTAAGGCAAAAAATAATGTTAAATTTATGTTGCCTTTTTCAATATATTTTCAATCTTGGCAAAGTCTGTTGGGTGAATGTATAAAATCTTTACTGAAAAAAACATTAATTAAATCCTATATCATATACATGTAATATGGGAAAAAAAATTCTCTGAGTAAAAATATGTAGGGGTAAAGATCCAAGATGCGTAGATTTTAAGAATTTTCTTCTAAATATCCTTCTACCAAGGAAATAGTCCCCATAAATAATGTTTCTTTATGATTTTGTGAGCAGTTTTTATACTGAATATTGTATAATTTGCATTGTTTAATTGAAAAATGTTATAAAAATTGAATTGTAATAAACAATTTTGAAGTCAGAGATTTTGACCAAACTTTTCTCAATTGCTTACGAGTGACTAGGTTTATTGTTAGTTTGCCATTCATATCTTTTTCTACTAAAATATCCAAAAATGAAACTGGTCAGACTCTGTGGTGTCTTTTATTTCTAGTTCAAGGGGATATATTAAATAAATGTAGATATGAAAATGAATATTGTTAATTGATAAAACGTGTTGGAAAGTCGCACGTTTTGATGTAATTGATTTCAGTAAAAATTTTTGTGATTTCTAATTTTCTGAAAGTTCCTTAGAGTGTGTCCACATCCAATTAACACTACTTCTCGAATATGTTGTTGTACAGTTCTCCTTGATTTTTATCCTATGACCTTGATGTTTGACTTTATTTTCAAATTTTTTAACATTGATTGAGGATAACTTTGAATGAGAGAAATATTGGGCTTTTATATTTTGACCTGTGCTTTACCTGTGACAAAACGTTTTCCAAATAAACTATGATTTTAACACCACGTCCTTATCCTTAAAGTTTAACAAGAGTATTTTTTCAAAAATCTTTACATTGTTATTAATTTTCGATGAGATGTGGCTTTCATATTTCAAATGTTCATTATCTATGACAACACCTTTCAGTAAGATATTATCATTTTACACTTCATGAACTTGACCTAGAAGATTGACCTACTTATAAAAAAAATTAACTTTGGCTATAATTTTTGCTCCAAAAGAGACATGGTTTTCATATTTTTTTCCACATGTGCATTACTTGTTATAATACCTTTCATATTGCATTATGATATTTGACCTAATGTCCTTGATCTTGAAGGTTGATGCAGTTTTGAGAAGCTTTAATATTGACTGTTACCTTTATCAATTCAAAAAAATATATTTTTTGTTTAATGGACAGACAAGACAGGACAAACAATCAAATTAGTAACAATGTGCCACAAATAATTACATCCTAACCACTAAGATACCGAAAGCGGGGGACCACAACTCTTTGAAATTCCTTGTCTCCCATATTTCATATGAATACTATTTCTTTCATCAATCTGTAAACACCAGTGAAGTAGCTATTTAGAACAAGTTTCTAAGCTACCTGTATAGATTTCCTCTGAAGTGTGCTTTTAATCAATGAAACATACAATGAAGTGCTTATCAATCATACAATATTTTATATACTTAAAACTACTTTAAATAATCATTTATACAGACATAAATATATCACAAACATCTCTTGTTTTTTTAAAAATGTTTTTCGATTTACTAAATGATAGTTTTCAACATATTATGACGTCTGACGTATACATTTCTTCTCATAATATCATTATTACAGTGTGATATTTATTTTATATAGAAAGAATCCTCTGTACACATTTTAAAGAATAAGCAATCAAATCTATATATCCATATTGGCATTTTTTATTTGCTTCAGAATATACGTTTATTATCTCTGCAAAACTAGGGGGGGGGGGTCTGACACCCCCCCCCTTCCCCCCAACTAGATCTGTGCATGCTTTTTCCTTAAGCAGGGGACACAAATTTACTGAATTAGCTTGTTGTCTAAATAAAATCTTAGTTTTTTAATGTAAGAAGAAATGTAGGTTTCAATTGAATGGCCATGTTTTAAAAGGATATCAAAAATAAAAAATAAAAGGCATACATGTGACAAAAATGTTGTTTTGACTTTATTTCATCTTTCCCTACGTGTTTTATTATTTATATTTCATTTATAACAAAAATGGATTCATTTTTTTATCAGTGTAAATGTTATGCAATTTCAGAAACCTTTAATATCTTTCGCTGATCAGTGTTGCTCCTTGAAGATAATTTGTGTTGTCACACCTTTTCAAAGAAACCTTTCCGTCAGCGTCACTTTTGGGACATTACGGAAGAATTCTTTTTATTCTTTCGTTCAGAGCACGCGTTACTTCCTAAAGACATTTTTCCTTCGTTCATAGCAACTTCCTGAAGATCCTGGATCTCTTTTGTATATAAACGAAGACGTAGGGCGTCTTGCGTCTGTTTTCTTGGGTTAACTCTCTTTTTGCGCCGACTAAATGCAGGTAGACAGGAGGCGATGATCCGGAATTTTTTTGGAAAATTTACTGATAGAAAAGCATAAATAATTGGATTAATACAACTATTTACATACGCCAGGCAGTTAGCAGTCATCAGACCAGCTGCTGATTCTATTGTCTGCTCATAGTTAGTGAAGCTTTCTATAAGGAATATAACTTGAATCGGTAGCCAGCAGAGAGCGAATGCCATGACAAAAGTTATTATGATTCTGGTCACTCGTCTTTGTGTGTAAAAGCTTCTCCTTCTCTGGCGCCAAGTCGCTACGGATCTGTTTTGAAGTCTTTTTAGTATACAACCATACAGTATACAAATCAATGTCAGAGGCAGTGCATAACCAAAGACAAAAAAGCAACCGTAAAAGACCCTTAACGCATACTTATTTCTAAGTCCAACTAGGTTCATGCAAGTTGACCGTTCGTGCTCTATCCACTGGTAGTATACGACGCTATACTGTAAAAGAACCGGAATGTTACCACCAAAGATTAAAGTCCAAATAAAGAACAACAGGAGAAAAGTGTTTCGACGATTTCTTATTTGTTTAGAGAGTACTGGATGAACAACAGCAATATTTCTATCAAAAGACAGAAGAACCATTGTCCAAATGCTGGCATACGCACATACATATGAAATGAAGTTGACAAGTTTACATAAAACGTCTCCAAAAGGCCAGTATGCCATTGAGTAACTTGCTGCCGTAAATGGAACACAGAATACTATGAAAAAGAGATCAGCAATGGCAAGATTAACAATTAGAATATTTGTTGTGTTTTGCAGTTTTTCTTTTGACATAATCACAGATACGACAAAAGCGTTTCCTAGTACTCCAAAAACTGCTATCAATCCAAAAATGACTGGTATTAAATACTGAATGATATTTTCAAATTCTAAGAACTTGTCGATATTTATATGTTCCTGGTGTTTGCAGATTGTTTCGTTGTCACACGTAGTGTTCTCCATCATTTTAATCAGCTCTGAGAAATATTAGAACAATTACCAGCTCTGAAAAATACCGATAGTAAAAAGTTAACAGTTCTTAAAATTATACAAATATACACGTTTTTCATTTCAATCAAGAAAATTGAAAATTAATGGTATTAAGTTTTGCTTTTTACATCATTTTTTTTTTTCATTTCAAACCACAGAATATTTTAAAGGTTAAAAGCAGTTTGTGACCAAATATTTAACTGGCCCTTTGCTTATAAGTAAAGAATCCATGATACTCACCAAACCTGAAGAACGAAAAAAAAGAAAAGAAAATATCCTCGGCTGATTTTATATATACATGTAGTAATTTGTTGAACGCGACTTATAAAACCATAATATAATTTACGTCATAGCAAATAAATGTGTAAATCTCTGCTGCTTTAAGAGATCATTTATACATTGTATCGTTCAAGTCATGTGAGTTTGTCTAAGTCCAGATGGATGCCAATCAAATTTATGAGAAAAAACTTGAAGATACACTTTTCAATAATTATCATTCAATTTTCACTTTTCAGGTTTCATGTCTTGCGACATGCACTGTCATTGTTTGCAAAATATCACTCATAAGTCGAGAGAAACAAAAATCCACTCTGAAAGTAACATTTTCTGTGTTGTGACCTTCGCCAAATTGTTGGAGTAAAAAAAAAGCATTCTCTGTGGGAATAGAACCCAAGCGATAAGAATCCTGACTAGAGACTCATGTGAAAAAAAAAAATTGTTCACGGGTAGTTATTTTTTTTTTCTTGTTTTACATCCCCTCGAGAATTTTTTCACTCATGTTGGGACGCCACCTATTGCCGGTGGACAGTTGCAAATTTATGATTGAACCCTGCACTTGTAGCCATTGAGCAGTGAGGGAACCTTTTTCGTGTCAGCGCCACGGAAACTCGGTTTATACGCTCTCATCCGAAGGACCGGTCTCCACGTCCGGTGTAACGACGAAAAGTGACCCCTGTAAAAATTCTACCCCTAGACAATATACTTTGTAGAAAAATGACCCACTTTTTTTGTAGAAATTGTGGTCTTAGGGTCATTTTTCTCCATGTTGATAGTAGAGAAATAACCCCGTTGAATAATGACCCTGTGTTATTTTTTTGATACAAAAAAAAACTACATGATTCTTGCTAGGCAAATACGTAGGGGTTAAATAACGCAGCCTTATGATATGAAGTGTTAATTTCTAAAAAAGCTTTAAGTTTAAATGACAAATTAAAAGGTTATACTATACTTTACATTAAGAATACAAGATGTTTTATCCCCAATAAAGGAAAACCTAACAAGGCTATAATGATGATCTATAAGTATTAGAGCAAGAATACTTAAATTGTTTGATTTGTTTTATCACATTTAATGAAATTAGTCTCCACAGTTGTAATTATTTAAAAAATCAAGATCATTTTCTTAGCTGGTGTAAGATAGAGAAATATATATAAATGAAAAATGTATAGCTTCAATTAATTGTAATCCTCTTTGATTGTTCTCTGGGAAAATAATGTGCAACGAATAAGAAATACATATAGTCTTCTTTTTTTCTTCAGAAGTTATAAGAAAGGACATAAGGATTGACGTTTTGGAATCCTAACCAAATAAATCTGCGTGAAAAAAAGGTAGATTGATAAGAAAATTCGATCTCGTAATTTCTATGAATAAAGTCTTAAACTTCTTCTCATAAAAATATAGGGAACATAAATTTGTGAAAATATAACACACAGAACTAAATCAATATGCCTCTGACCTTCGATATCAGGGGCACAAAAAGTGATTAGCTCAAAATCTTTACCAATGTCTTTTGTCGTTTGCTACTGTCAACAGTCTTTATCAAAATGAGGCTTTTTACATCAAAAAATTTGATTGATTAAAAAAAAAGAGGCGTATGGTATACCAAGATTTGACACAAGTCTATATACACGGTAGTATCGTCTTTCCCCTTTCTAGTTACATGTAAAAAAAAATTACCATTATTTATTTAAAAAAAAAAAAAAAAAAAAGAAAAAAAAAACGAATGTTGCATTATAAAAGAAGCTCCTAAGTCTAAAAAAATTTTTAACAACATTTGTATTTGAAGAAATAAAAAAAAAAATGCGAGATTCGATCGTATGAGCGTATCTATAGTAGCGAGTTTTGAGGGGAGGGAGTTACGGGGTTGTAAATGTAACCCACTTGTTTGCTAGTCTATAGGAAAAAATTCCCTTCTGGTCATGTATGTCTTTCCTATAAATAAATTAAGCGTTCTTGCTGTCTGATAAGAGGTTTAAAAGTATAAAAAGTTTAAAGGATAAAAGTGAAAAGAAATCTTTTTTTTTTCCTTTCACCGAAAATCCTCTTATAAGGTTTTTTATTTACATAATGTATATTTACGTGCATTGTAATGCAGATTATATATGTATCTATAATGGTGAAGGTAGTTGAGTATATTGCCAGTATTTTTATCACAATCGTTGGGCACTATTAGTATTTTGTATGCCCCCGAGATCGAAGCTCGGGAAAATATTGATATAGTCTCGTCTGTCTTTCTGTCCTACAGTCACTCAGCCAAAAACTTTAATTTTCCTTCAAAGTATTAAAGGAAAGAAGTTATTTTGGTGAATTTGTAGATATGTATGAAGGCTGAAATATTATTTACTCAGATCTTAACTTTTGCCCGTTTTAGGGGCATTATAATGTAAAACTATACCCCATTTCCTTCGGAGAATGGTTATTAATATTCATGTAATAGATAAGCGTGAAGGAACCTAAAAGAGGGCAAAAGATATAACATGATTTTAACAAGAGGCCCAAGGGCCTTAATGGTCACCTGAGTATAATGTAACGATCCATAGATTAAAACAAAATAAGCTGATAAATAAAGCTTTGTTGCCCAAAAGCAAGAGAAATGGGATGATCAGGGATCAGCAAAATATTTATTTAGTACTCAATAACAAATCTTAAAGTTGATCTATTTATTTGCCTGTACTTTCCCCCATTTGTCACTATCCTCATGCGGACTTAGTAAACACGTTTCATTCCCCTTCATTGGCCTCTCTTAGTCTTTGAAGATTATTCATTGTTCAAAGATAAGGTATTTTTGTCCCATTTTCATTTAACTATTATTTGAAAGTTTACCTGACCATTAAAAACTTATTAAAGTACTTTTCTATTAAATATAATAACATTTCTTGTAATTCAATTAACCTTTCAAGATACATTATTTACAGTGATTAACTATTATAGGTGAAGAGCAAAGGGGAATAACTTCTTTCAGTAAAATTTAAAAAATGACCAAAGGGTACAGAATTTCAAAATCTGGTAAAAACACTCTCGCTTATTACAACTTTATATACTCTGTTTGCCTCCCAAATGCCCAGGAGCAGAGAAGATTTTCAAGGAAATGATTCATTTTCACCATGGATTCATATATTTAAATTCAGAAATTTAATTTAATTATTTCAAAATTAAGGATTATCTCCCTCGATCATAGCTCTGATCCTTCGACGTATTTAGCTCCAGCCTTTGGCACCCTTTTTCCAGCTCTTCCAAGTCTTTTTTACTTCCGTAGAGGATTTTTGGGACAGTCTATGTGGAGGGCACTGAGAGTCATTGGCAGAACTGGAACAGAGAGAAGGAGACTGATAGGAGGTCTATGAAGGGAGGCGGAGTCAGCATATATGTGGTTGTGGAGAAAAAGGGCAGATAAGTGGAAAGACAGTTAAAATACAGCAGTGATAAAGACAGTAAAATAGAACAGCAGTGATGTAGAACCAAGTGGTTCCGGGCTGGGACTTGATCACCCCAGTCGGCACACCTCTGGAGGCTGTAGTGGACAGCGCCGAAATATCCGATGAAGGAGGATCCACCTGAAGACGGAACCACGCATCTTTCCATCAGGATGTATACAAGTAATGACTAGTAATATTTGATACTTTGATATTTTTAATGTTTAATGTTTTAATAATGTTTTAGTGTTTTAATATAGTTTTTTTTTCTTACTATGAAACTACAGAAATAAATCAAAATATCAAATGCAAGATTTAATTATTTTCTTCCTACTCTTTCCGTAGATTCTCTTTCACCAAATTCACAACTATGATATAGTCTATAGCAATTAAGTAGTTATCTTAACTGGACAAACTCCCCTAGCTCTTCCTCTCTATGTGGATCACTGTGCATCTCCCTCAAATACTTCTCCACGTCCTCATTGGAAGATCTCAGTGATCCTGACCCTTTATTTCCTAGCAATCTTGATGTAAACTGTATTTTGCTTTTGCTCTATCTCGCTGCTTCCTTCTACGCCTGTTTCTCTCTGCTCTTCTTGCTATCTTAAGATGTTCCCTGATGTTATCTCGTAACTGTGATAGTGCTGGTTTCTTCTCTTCTGTAGCCTTTATATACTGCTTACGAAGCTGCCGAAGGTCTTGTCTCATCTTTGCCTTTGTTCTGTGCCAAACCTGTCGAGGCCTACGTTGTATATAATTGATGTCATAGCTTCTATTTTCCTGTCAATACTGCCTGCAAGGGTCGTATTCAGATTTGCATCAACATCTCGGTCAAGCTGTTCCCAGTCACTTCTGTTGTTACTGTTTGGCCATTTTACTTTCCTCTTCCTTATATCACTGTCAGTACACCGATTGTCTTCCATCTCTTCTTGCTGTTGATTGCTGTTCTGTGATTGGTTGTTGTCCTCACTATCATAGTTTCACTGTATGAAGCCTTGTCATTGCCTAACACATGGAGGCTGTGGTCACTGTGGTTTTCGTCCTGAACCACTTCCTCCTCCGTCTCACCAGGTTGCCCTGTGCGTTGTGTTAACCGCTGATCTGGCTTACATCCCATCTTCCCCATGTGGATTTTAAGGCCCCTTTGATTCTTTCCCACAGCTGCATACATTTCCGCTGTTTGTAGTCGTCATCGTTTTCCGTGGCTTGGCTGTATCCGGATTATCCGTCCCTAAAGGTCGCTCATCCTCCCCCGCGACCTCAGCGGTGTTAAAGTATATATCTGCCCATAGCGTGATGAATTGGGTCCTTCCTCATAGAAGTTGTGCTTTGGCCTGCCAAGCCTTCACACCCCTGATCTCAGTCTCTCCTAGTTGTGTCCTGTCTCTCCACGTTGTCACTGAACTTTTCTCAGTTGTCATCCAGACTTTCCTGGCTTTCTCTGCTTTCCCAGATAATATTATTTATATACATCCTGATGGAAAAATGCGTGGTTCCGTCATCAGGTAGATCCTCCTTCATCGGCTGTTTCGGCTCTGTCCATTACAGCCTCCAGAGGTGCGCCGACTGGGGGATCAAATCGCAGCCCGGAACCACTTGGCTCTACGTCACTGCTGTTTTATTTTACTGTCTATATAACTGCTCTGTATTTTAACTGTCTTTCCACTTATCTGCCCTTCTTCTTCACAACCACATAGATGCTTACTCTGCCTCCCTATCAATCTCCTTGAAGTTCTCTCTGCTCCAGTAATGCCAATGACTCTCAGTTCCCTCCACATAGACTTTCCCACAAATCCTCTACATCCCACTATAATTATATTTATATGATTCTCTCTCTCTCATTATAATCAAGATTGAATTCTTTTTTTTATCTTTATGAAATAAAAAACAGGTGGAACTGCGATACACATGTAAATATTTTTTCCAAATTATCAACTTCATCTTCATTAGGGTTGGACGAGTTAAATTTACAAAATTTATTCTTTTAAATATATAATAATGCATTGGTAAAATACAGGTAATTCCAGGTAAATCCCAGACGAAGATCAGACTATAGTTGCTATCAATACATATTTTACCCCTATTGTTCTATACCTAATTACCACGTGTGCAAAACAGGAACACACCATATACATGTATATACGAGGGTCATTCAAAAAGTCCGTAGACCTTTGTCATAACTTTTTTTATTTAACGTCATATTACAACCAAATTTATTACACATATTTAAACAACAGATTCAAATAATTTGAGTAAAAAAAATTGGAATTTATCTTGATATTTATCAAAATTATCAAAGATTTAAGACAGCAAAAATGGGGTCACGGAGCAGGGTCAAAATTGAGTTATTTACTAATTTTACATTTTATAATGTTTATAGCCATACCTCTAATGAATGATGCTTAAACAAAAAAAATTTGAATGTTTAAATTAAGTATTGTTCTATTACTTGCTTAAAGGTAATGTAATTCATCGCTTCGTTTAAAAGATATGAATTTCTAAAGACAGATAGACTTGATTAAAAAAAAGCATGACGTCGAAGGACGTCACGGAGCAGCAATAAAGTTTTGTTTTGCATTCGGGAAACCTCTAAAACAAACTCTTAAAATGTTGGAGGAACTAAGAAATATATAAGAAATGAGCCCATGAGCTGTGGAATTGTATATAATGGAAAAGAGAATTTTTGTGTTGTAGAGACTGAACGGACGATGGACGGTCTGCGAAGAAACAGATTATAGTTAAAAATCCTGTCAAAGAGTTTGTAACGTCATGAAACGTCAAGTGCGCTTCACTGTTGTGGAACTTGTGAAAGCAGCCAGAGTTACGAGGTAAAGAATTTGAAAACATTGACAATCCAACTTCAGCTACTCGAACAATTGTTAGCAAACTTGGTGTCAAGTGTTATGGATACGTTTTTATGAATTGGGAAGACGCTACAAACCGTGTATGAAATAAAAAGGCCGAACAGTTTTGAGAAACTTTCTCGAGGCTGTTTTTGACATTACAATGTTGTTAACCGTGCTCCGTGGTGACAAAGCATGTTGCTTTTAATACTGGCTAACATGAATTCTATTTAATCAAATGGAATGAAACTTTACATATCGACAAAATAAATGTTTTTACATATGAAAATGTGTGGATCTTTTATCTTGTAAAAATAATATGATGATGAGAAACATCGTCTACGTATTTTTTGAATGACCCTATATATATATATGGGTGTGTGAGGGTGGGTGGGTGTGTGAGGGTGTGTGTGTTTCGATTTTTCTTCGAGAAATGAGAGAAAATCAATGTAAATATTCCCTTAACAAACATGCATTAAAAAGACCATTACAATTTTCAATACGTATTGCGTCAAGCATTAAATCGAGTATAAGCAAATAAACCTGATATTTCCAAATATTTTAAACTGTTAGTAGTATCACGTAGATTTTTTTTTTAGTGAACAATGTAAGTGACGTTTACAATATTCCATTTGTGCTGTAATGAATGATTCCTTCAGATAAATACTTCAAATTATATACGATAATTTTATTTATTACAAGTAAAGCATAATAATAATTTGATGACGTACATGTAGTAATTTACAAGATACAAAATGTAACGACTTTATGCGCCCTCACGCTCAAACATTTAGCAATGGAACTACATACAGGCAAGTTACTTGCAAACCATGTACATGCTTTGTCATTTATAAAATTGATTAGTTCTGCATGACATTTCTTTTTCGGAAACAATGATACAGTTAGATACATGCATGCTATAAATCAGTAAGAGGTTTCAGTTCAATTCCTTCTCCAACATTGCAGTTTTTGTCTTTGCCATTTTCACTTTTACTTTTAGAACTGCCATTATTAAGAAGAGTATCTTTTGTCTCCATTCCTCTGAAATTAGTTTTCTCGTAGTCATATTTGCTGTGACCTTCTGGTACACAACATAGCAGACGACGGAAACTTCGTCTAAAGTTTTCCGACAGAAAAGCGTACAAAATCGGATTGACACAACTGTTCATGTACGCTAAGCAGTTGGCAGCCATATGTATGGCCGAGGACATTATGGAGACTTCAAAGTCAGTATTTAAGTACTGAACTAAAAAAATCACTTGAATCGGTAGCCAGCACAAAGCGAATATGAGAACAACGATGACAACCATTTTGGTTACTCTCTTTTTGGCTTTTAGGCTGTCGGCTCGCTGGCTTCCACCCGGAACTACCCCGTATAAAAGACGCTTTAACAGGAACCCGTACATAAGACATATCAGCATTAACGGAATCATGTAGCCAAATGCAAAAAAACACCCGTAAAATATTTTTAAAACTAATTTACTTTTCAATCCCGCAATATTAAGACAAGCTGACCTCTGAAATCCCATCCAGTGGTAATCAACAACACCGTATTGCAGAAATATCGGGACATTACCACAGCAGATGAATGTCCATGTCATGTATACCAGTAGGTAGGTGTTACGTCGGTTGCGCAGGCGCATGGATGGTATTGGATGAACAACAGCTAGGTATCTGTCCAGAGACAGCAAAACCAATGTCCATACGCTGGCGTAAGCAGAGACATGTATTAAAAAGTGGACAATTTTGCACCAAACAGCGCCAAAGGGCCAATAAGACATGGCGTAGTTGGCTGCAGTGAACGGGACACAAAATACGATGAAAAATAGATCAGCTACGGCCAGACTTACTATCAGAATATTTGTGGTATTTTGCATTTGTTTGTAAGACCATACAACAAATATGACTAAAACATTCCCCACAAATCCAAGGATAACTATTAATCCAAAAATTATCGGTATGATGTAACGTACAAGATTCTCGAATTTTAAGAAAGCCTCGATGTTAACGTAATCTTCTGTTATATTGCAGACGGTTCTATTTTCACAAGACATGTTGTAAAGCATGGTTGTCAAGTTGATTTTTTCTCCGCCAATATTGCTCATCTAAAATGAGAATGCAAAATTTAATAATGGTATTAAAAACTTTTTGATATATAACAATTTGAACATTTGAGGTATTTTAACGTCAACTCGCAGAGGTGTGTTATTTGTATATAACATTAAAATTTACAGTATAATAGGGAAATTAAAGAAAGAAAAAAAATGAAATACAATAGCATCTTGTGTTAATTTTATTCTTTAATCAACTCTTGAAAATATCGACTTGTAAACGTACATTGTACAATTGTTGATGTTTTTAAAATTCTTTTTGTCTGTTGTAAAATTAGGGCAAATGCCCCTAATTTTGGTGTATGAAAAGTGTATTTTGATACAAGAATTTAAGCATTAATGTTAGTTCTTATTCACGAAATAAATACTTAAACTTGGCTTTTTACGTTCTTTAATGTCAATTGTCCCCCTTCTATATTCTCAGTATAACGCTATGATCGGAAATGTGGCATCATAAACGTACAGCAGTTACAAAAATAACCTTATTCATACCTTCTTCAGAACGGATGCGAACGTTAACCTTTTTTCCTGTACACAAATATGTAATTTGTTATTGGGCATTCATTTTATTTTTTTTCTCTAAATTTAAACATGCCTGCATGCTTGTGATATATCGTTCAAAATATATTTATGTATACCTGTGAAAATCAAGGTTTTTTTTTTCAAATCTTACATTAACGAAAAGTTATTGGGCGGAGTAGATATAAATTTTATCTAGATTAATTATTAACAATTACCTGTACATACCAGAAAAGATACCTGAACCACGTGGACACCGTCATGTAAATTTTGTATTTACTGTCACTTAGTAAATTCAACATTTACAACACGACAATACGTAGAAAAGAATTATGAATGACATAAAACGCACATAAACAACATTTAAATCACGTGATCATCAAGTCTTAATTAAATTGTTTAATTTTTGAATTAATCTCGCAAAAAAAAAAAAAAAATAAAAAATAAACAACAAAAATTCAATCAAAAAAGTTTATATATATATACTTATCCAGACAATTAATTAAAAATTTTGTCTATATCAGTGATGTGATTATGAAGACAAATATTGACTTTTGGATCCAGGTGAAAAGTCAAAGTACTTTCGTACAAGTAAGGAAAACCGGTGTGTTCCCCGAACGGCAACTCACCAAAAACAACGTACGTGATTTAATACGTGAAGTGATTGAGAGGCCTTCAAATGGGGGTTCAGTTTGAGTTTGCCCGTATTTACTTGGATCATAAAGCAGACAAATTCATTAAATTTCATCATTATTCTTATTTCTACACGGTATCCAGGATTCAAGTTATTTGTACTATGTAAAAAATATGCATGTTACTTAAAACGATTTATATAAACAATGTATATCTAAATGATGAATGTTTTGAAATAAAAATTACACCACTAATTTAATATTTTTAGGATTCTAACATATTGGATCAGGGATCAGGTGACTTTATACTTATTACATTAAATCTTTTTAAGCTATTAGTATTGACGTTGAATTGGTGTCTTACGTTTCTCAGTTGTATTATATTGGAAAAACCTTTAAATACTTTTTAAAACCATTTAAAAAAAATTTTTCCCCTATGAATTTAAATAATGTATCCATGAATTTCCCATTGAATTGCTCAGTTATTAAAGTGTTTATATCTTACACATTTCACAATCATCGTGAATTACTTAACTTTAACAATTTAAAAAAAACAACTTTTCTTTGCTGATTGTAAAAATGAGTGATGTATTGATGACATCATCAACCTTAAGGTCACCTTCACAAATTTTACATCCGAAAATTTTTCATTTAGAATAGCGCACGTGTTATGACCAAAATGAATTTATATAGTGGTTGTTATAATATGTAAATATTTAACTTCAGCTGCGACGTTATGTGACACGTACTTTGGTACCAGTACTAGTGAAAGGTCTTAAAATGTGAAGGAAAAAGATTTTTAGTGAAACATGTGGTTTTATATGTGCATGTGCTGTGTTTTTCTACTTAACCAACTATAAAATTCATTTGAATGCCATTTTCGTGCATACTCATGCGTAGAAATAAACTGGTATCAAAGTGTCGTCACAATGAGGCTACAGAGACGTTTATGAAGATATAACTATACAGGGCAGAGAGAAATTCTAACATTGAGTATATTTTGGGTGCTTTTAAACATGTAGTTATAAGGAATGTTTTAAGTTTAGTATGAATTATTGGTGCGTAAATCACACAGATTTGCACGTAGGCATATTTTTCAGGAAGCACTAGCGCGCTTCATGAAATATGACAAGTCTTTGTGATTTACACACCAATATCTCACACGCAACTTAAAAACATTCCTTAAATGAGTATTAAGTGTGTAAAAACAGTGTGTAAAAAAGCAATGCTACTAAAATTCATACAAAATAGTGGAAGAGTGAGATGCAAACAAGACCATAATACATTGAATTGGTTGTTAAAATGTAATATTACATATAAAATTTTAATGTTGTAATAACAATATATACATGTACTCGTATTTATTAAAAGTTACTGCTAAAATTATTTTGGCAGATTTAATCCCTGAGAGGGGCCCTTAATCACGGTGCATAATTACTTCTCGTTTTTTGGCGAATATCCATTCGGGGAATAAGCCAGAAAATCCAATAATCGCAATATTATTTAATTTTGAGTACTGGATTAAATTTTTATTTTACTTTAAATAAACTATCTTTATGACAATAAAATTTCATAAATGAATATCAAAGATGTATTTAAAGACCTGAGAAAAGTTTCATGTGCCTTTCAGAACACATAGTACCACACTGAAATACACACATTTATCGGCAACTGATCTATACCTACCATGTTCCCTACAGGTTGTTAATAGTTTTCATTTCGAGTGTGTTCTCAGAATTACAATTTGAATCCTTTCCATTTTCAGATATTTTTGTAGTGTTGTTCAATAAGGATTCTTTCGAATTCACTTCTGAGCATTTGGTTGCGTTGTTTAATAAAGTGTCTTTTGTGTCTTTATGTTCCTTTTCGTGGCCTCGTGCTTGAGTCCGCTCATACTCAAATTTGTTCCACCTCTCTCGTTTACAACACAGTAAATTTTTAAAACTTCGGCGAAAGTTTTCAGATAGAAATGCGTATAAAATTGGGTTCATGCAGCTATTCATGTATGCAATGCAATTAGCTGTCATCAAAAACGAAGTATTCACTATATTTGTTTCGTAGTTCGGGTCAAAATACTGAAACATGAAACAGATGTGAATGGGAAGCCAACATATTGCAAATACTACAACTACTATGATTATCATACGCGTGACTCTCTTTTTACTTCGAATATTCTCGGCCCTTTGACTTCCGCCTGGCACAACTCCGTACAACAGACGTTTCAATAAAAAACCGTACAAGACACAAATAATTAGTAAAGGCAAAACATAACCAAAAGCGAAAAAGCAACCATGAAACAATGGTAAAGTGTCTTCTTCCAAATTTAAACAGCTGGATCGCATTGCTCCACCATAATTATATTCCAAGACATTGTACTGAATCAGCAACCGAATGTGTCCTACGCTGAAGATAAACCAAGTTAAGACAATTAGGATGTAAGCATTGCGAGTATTTCGAAGCCTCATGGAAGATATAGGATGCACCACTGCTAAATACCGGTCAAATGACATTAGAACTAAAGTCCACACACTTGCATATGCACACACATACATAAGATAGTTGACGATTTTACACCAGATATCGCCAAACGGCCATGTGGGCATTGCATACAAGGTAGCCGTGAAAGGCACGCAGAACATAATGAAGAAAAGGTCTGCGAAAGCCAGACTGACGATCAGAATATTTGTGGTGTTTTGCATTTGTTTGTAAGAGTACACGACAATGATGACAAGAAGGTTTCCTACTAAGCCGAGGAAGACGATAAGTCCAAAGATGGTAGGTATGATGATTCTAACCAGACTCTCGAACAGCATGGCACTCTCGTCTGCACTGGTGCCATTGGAAGCATTCTGAGAGTCAGTCGTGTTTAATTGGGCATCCATTTTTTTTATTGGACCTAAAATAATAGATACTGACAAGCAAATATTTAAGGATGACGATTCCAGTGGTGCAGATTGAGTCCGACATTTAACCTTTATTATTATATTAGATATGTATTTATGGTGCACATTTTATTTTTGTAATTTGAAGAAAGATAATTACATATGTATCCTTTTAATAAGAATTTCTATTTCATTTTGATGTTCGGATGATCGTCTTTTGTTTAGATTATTGTCCGAAAATTATGAAATGATGTGGTACTTACAACTTGAGCAGTTCTATGACTCCTTTAAACAAGTGAGTATGTGTGTGTGTTTGTGGAGGGGGGGGGGGTTGTCATCAAGATACGAATTTTCAAGGTGACTTCTAACCCTTTCCAAAACCTCTCCTTTTCTCTTGAGTAGTACTATGGCAACGTGAAGTATTTAATATTTAAAAAAAAAACCCATTAATGTCATCTTTCCATATGTAAATAAGAATTCCGACAAGACAAGGCTAATAATAAACTTTGTTATTATAGGTATATGCAAAATATTTTGACAATTTAAAACTATAAAATAGAGAATTGATGGATTTTTTTTTCAGAACAATTAGGAAACTGTAGTCCTACAATAAGCAAACTAAGCTGAAGAGAAATTAATTAGACGATGCTGAAAGAACATACGTTTGCGCTTAAAAGATCATATCTCGGAAGAAAAAAAGTTTTTTCATAATTTTTTTTTTGTAGGATATAGCCATAGAAATCAGCAGTTCAGCTGTATCACAGGAAAAATTGACCAGTTTTACAACAGAAAAAATTAATTTGTTGTATCACAGAAAATTGAAGCACTGAAAAATGCGAAGATGTAGAAGAAAGGATCTGCCTTTACCGCAACAAGATTTTTCAGCTGATACATGTACAAGTAATTCATTTGAAGTTCTCTTCCCTTTGTTATATAATAATTCTTCATTCGTGTCGATATATAAATGTACAGGGCAACAGTATACGCCAAAATAACTACTGGTAAACCTAAGTACTTTACACTATTAGTTTGGAATTTTAGTTAGTTTACCTAACTTTAAAGAGGTTCGATCGTCAGCTTTCAAATTGAGCAAATTTCTGTGCGGACCTTCATGAAAAAAATAATATATTTTTCTCTTTCGAAGTATTTACAGTAAAACTGGTTAGTTTGGATTCTCATTTTCCATGCAGGTTGCACACAGAGTTATTTTGTGCAGTGAAATGTTTTATGCTGGTCCCAAATTATTAATTAAATAAACTGTCTTCAATTTTATCATTATATTGTGACAAATATATCAAATATATTGTGAAAGTCCAGAAAAAGTAACCCCAATTTAAATTTAAAATTAACACTATATTTTAGCAATATCTAAAACAATATTACATCCTAGAACCCCCCACTTTTAATTTTCTTTCCAGAATATATAAGAAAATTTTAACCATTCTGCTGGAATTCAGCAAAATCTTAATACTTTAAAATGATTTTACTGCTTGTTAAATTTTTAACGCAAGAAAAATGATATTTTTTGAGTGCAGAAAAGTCAAATAATTGACTCTTGAAACTTTTTTCATTGTCACAAATTTTAATGTGTCTATTCTAGATAAAATAAGACTGTATTTGTTCCCACGATTTATTTGGATAAAAAAATATTGAGGAAATCTTCGAAAAACTGATTTATGTGTCAGACGTAATTTCAGTGCAAAAAGGTCATAATAAATGCTCCGAAGTGCAAAAAAAAATGCACTAATCTTAATTAACCTATGTGTGTAGATTCTAAAAAAATATACTTGATAAAAAATTCTAAATACTTTTGATAGCAGGATCCAACCACCTTAAAGCATATTTCTTTTTTCAGTCACCTTAATGAACTAGTATCTCATATCCCCTCTTTAAGTTATTTCAATGTCGATGTGATTACGAAAGTTTTGTCTCCAGTTTGATGACCCTGTAGTTCATCGTCAAAGACTACGATCTGCCTTGTTCCAGAGATGCAATATTGAGTGTCGTGTTTAGGCGAGGATTTATATTGAGTAATATGTCAATAACATGTCTACAATATGTACATGCTTGTAAAAGAAAGTAATTAAAGATACGTGGAGGTTAAATGTAGGACTCTATCATAATTAACTGTACCACCTTCAAATTAATTGAGAATAGTGCATAATGTCTAGGCGTACATTTTGAACAGAGAAAATTTCTAGAGACCTCCATGCCTGGTTTGAATATGCAGTGTTGTGAAATATTGACAATTCAGCCGCAAAACCTTCTTGTAGAATCATACTTTAAAATGCGACTAAAATAACCATCCTCAGTTAAACTGTCTAGAAAATATCCATAGTTCCATATATAACTACATGTACTTTACAGCAAGTTTGATTTCACAAAGTTTATTTAAAACAACTTCAAAACACATCCACTGGTAAATAAAAGTTTATTTTGAGCAATATACTTCAAAAGAACTAAATATTTTTTTATCATTCGAGGACATTCAGAATTCGTTTTCACATACATGTAAATCTAAGCGTGATCTTCAATCAGAATTACAAATTTCTGGAAGACATCATTTCCGCAATACACATTACCAAAATGTCGGATTTTCTCAATTATATTCTCATAAACACAGAACCTTAAAAATATTAACTAGATCCACTTTTATTATCAATAGTATTTGTTTTAATGAGCACATAGTTGGCTTGATGAAATATTTATCAAATGTGACGTCATAATACGTACCGAAGGCCAAAGGTTGACAATGGGGGTTGTTTTATTACATTTTTAATACACACCAGAGTGGATTACAAGAGATATTGTATAAGACAACCGTTGTGTTTTTAACGAAAAATCTTGAAAAAGATGATGAAGATAATTCCTCGCAACAGGAAGATTGACGGGACACAAAGTAGCGCGAATTTGATTTGGCAGACAAATCGTCTGGTGTGACTGGGAATAATTGAGGTTTGAGATTAAAACTTTATTACGATTGGAAGACAATATTCTCAAAATTATATATCAAAACGTATAGTCATTAGGACATTACATCGGGGGAACCGATCTCCTGCTTAAGCTCCATGATACGACAGTAATTGGCGAGATATAATTCAAATGCGAATTAAATAACGAATCTTTTCTTCTTCCCTTTACTGAACTTAGCTAGCAGTTATGTTAAAATTAAGAAGGAATTACACTTTTTGTAATTTCTAAGAAAAATTTTTCGAGTAAAGTAATATCTCGAAATATATCAGAAGGAATGGACATTGTTTTTATGAAATTTTCTAATGGTTATTTATGATTATTACTTAGATAAAAATCTCATCATCCAGCGCGTTAGCACCTGGACAGTACTAGTATTACAATCTCTCTGCTACAAAGATTTTGGAACGAATAGCACACACCAACATGATGTGACATCCTGAATTAACCATTGTATGTCCTAAACTCGAACGATTTTAAGTCACAAATGAAAAGATGTAAAATGGATAATATCATTCTTATTGGGGTTTCCTATGGTTTCTAAAGAACTCATGCCGTGAGTTCTATAACTGAAATAACGAGAATGTCAATAGCGAGTCTATGCTTCATTGGCAGAATGGAGACCCTTTTCACTGGAAAACAAGTCATCCAAATAGAGTTGTAACGCCACTGTCATTCCATGTAAAGTTTATCAAATGATTGCATTGAGAGATTTATAGACGCCGCCATTCCGGTCGTCCATTTGGTCAATAATCGATTTAACTGTTAGTTGCAGATAAGGATATTTTTGTCTGAAATGAATATAAAAAAATAGCCTGGAAATAACAGAGTCTCTTACAACATTTACTGTGACATTTGAAACGCCCGGAAGCAGTCGTAATTACAAAATAAATACAGTAATTAAAGGCAAAAACAAGAAAAAGGGTTTCACTTCACTTGTTTTTGGAGTCTTT